TGGGCTCAAGTGATCTACCCCCGCTGCCTTCTAAAGTGCTGGGATTACAGACATGAGCCACAGTGCCTGACCATATCAGGGATTTGGGAAGCATTCTCTGTACATATTTAGACTTTCCCCCAAGTCTTCCACGTTTCTCCCTTTCCTATGCTGAGGGCTATGTTTAGTTCCTAGCCGAGTCCTGACTTTGTAAAGAACAACAAGTAAACAGCTTCTTCAGAAGGCTGGATGCTGAGCCCTGATTGCCCTTCAGTGAACCAGCCTCATCCATGAAGGTCCTTGAAAAGCCAGAAGCTGTCTCATTGGGGGGTCCTTGAAATTTGAAGCAAGGGACAGGTTCTGAGACCCTGTGTTTTGCAGATTAGGTTAGCGCAAGAAAGATGGGCTGGGTGTCTTTGCAGTTCATTTCTATAGAGTGTCATTCTAGGTCTGCCTGGATAGAGAAACGAAGCAGCCTCGTGTGGGATCCATCAGCAGTGGCCAGTGGGAGTCAGCGTTTGTAGTTATTGACACATCTCCTGCAGAATTGGGGTGGTGGGCTAGCTGTGGGAGAGCACTGCACTGGGAGTCAGTGTCTTGGGGCCTCTAGCCTCCTGTGAAATGTCTTTTTTCTCTGGACCTCAGTTTCTCCATTTTGTTATAATGAGCTGGGCTAGCTCAGTAGTTCTTAACCTCTTGACCTCCTTAAGTTCTTAACCTCCTTAAGACTTTCGTGAAAGCCATAAAGCCGTAGACCTCTATTCCTAGAAAAATGAACACACATGGTTTGCCAACACCTTAGGAACCCCCAAAGCCCATGACACAAAACCCTGGATCTGTAAGGCCCTGTCCCATCCAACCCCCGGCCTTCCCCTGGGCATGTACCTCCAGCTACACAGGGCCTTCATTCACGCTGCCTTTTGCCTGGTCCAGCTCTGCTCACCCTTCAAGTCTCACCCTTACCTGACTTCTCAGATTAGATTACGTCACCTTGCTAAACATGCATCTCCCACCCTGAATTTAGCGCTGATCACAGTGATAACTAAGTGATTCTTCGTGCACGTTATCTGACCCTCCCCAAGCTCCATGTTGGTATTTGTTGAATAAATCTCTGAGGCCCCTCCAGATAGGACGTTCTGAGACTGATCTGTGAGTTTGCAGATGTATCATAAGAGAGTCCCTAAGCTTGTATTTCCTGTGACACTTGACACATGGTGGCCTTTGCTTTCAATGATTTCCCCCTGGACTGGACAGGGGAGTCACTTCAAAGTGGCCTAGGCCAGACTTGGTGGCTCATACCTATAATCCTAGGACTTTGGGAGGCTGAGGCTGGAGAATCACTTGAGACCATGGGTTTGAGACCAGCCTGGCAACCAAGCAAGATACTGTCTCTATAAAAAGTAATTTTAAAAATTAGCCAGGTATGGTGGCAAGTGTATATAGTCACAGCTAGTCAGGAGGCTGAGGCAGGAGGATCGCTTGAGCTCAGCAGTTGGAGGCTGCAGTAAACTGTGATTGCACCACTGCACTCCAACCTGAACAACAGAGGCTCTGTCTCAAAAAAAAAAAAAAAAAAAAAAAAAGGCAGAGTTTAGAGGACCCAGAAGATAGAGAGTCTAACCCAGACTTTCTGCCTCAGTGCTCTGCTGGGCCTGACCTCCAGGCTGGTCATCGCCTTTGTTTATGTTCTGGGCTGAGCTGGAACTCCTACTTGGAACATTCCCACAGTGCTTGGCGCTTCCTCTTATTGTTGTATTTTTCTCCAGGAGGGAAGTGACCAACATCAGACTTTCCTCCCAGCAGACAAATTCCATACACAAAGCTTTGTGTCAGCTACTGGGTACCCGCCTGAGAGCCCAGCCTCTGTTTCTTTGGTTCTGGGTGGGTGAATGCACACATTACAGGGATCCAGCAGCCCTTCCCTTCTGAGCCATTTCTATCTTAAAAAAAAAAAAAAAAATTGCCTTCAAGAAGTGAGCAACGCCTTGAAGGATTCTGACTTAGATCAGAGTTCGTCTGAAGCCAACAGCGTCTTGCGTGTAGGGGCAGACATTCCTTTCAATGTTTCATACTTCAGTGGCTGCAGTATTACCTCTCTGGCTTATGTCATGTCCCACAATCAAAATATCATTCCTTCTGTAGTCCAACTACCTGGGAGGCTGAGGCAGGAGCATCACTACTTGAGCCCAGTAGTTTGAGGCCAGCTGGGCAATAAAAGGAGACCCTGTCTCTTAAAAAAAAAAAAAATCCTGAGGTACAGAAGTTTATAAGATAATTTTTTTTTTAATTATACTAAGAGAATGAATTATTCACTAGAATATTACAATGGATCTTACTCTGATATGGGAAAGAAAATCCGTAGTGAGGGTAAATAATTTTTTTCAATGTATTGTATCTAAAGCTTAGAGATTTATAGATAATAAAAACATTGACAGTAGCCATTCTCATTGTCTGCTGTGTACCAACAAATTTTAAACATCTTTATTTTATTTTATTTTTTTAAAGATGGAGGTCTCGCCCTGTGGCCCAAACTGGAGTGCAGCGTGCAGTCACAAATCACTGCAGTCCTGATCTCCTGGGCCCAAATGATTTTCCTGCCTCAACCTCACACATCAGCCTCCTGAGTCTAAATATCTTATTTAACCTTTAAACTGCCCTTTGAAGTAGATAGTGTAATTGTACACATGAACATATGTGAAAATAGGTGGGGAGAGGTGAAGATTCTATCCCAAAGTTGCTCAGCTAGGAAGTGCCCACATAGATTCAAACCAGGCCAGCTGGCCTTCAAAGCTAGTTCCTTCACACTGCCCTCCTGCCTCCTCTGGTCATGGGGAAATGGGCAGCAGAGGTTTTCCTAGCCAAGGGTAAAGATTTGGGAGCTGATCTGGCCTTCAAACTAAATGCCCAGCTTCGATCCCTACCCCTCTCTGAGGAATCTGTGAAATGGGGAATCGGGAATCGGCTAGTTGGAGGAGATGATCTTGTAAATCTGCTTGGGTTTTACAGAGATATGGGGCTTGTAGTAGTCATACGTGAAGGCGTGACCTTGATAACACGTGGTCAAGTCGAGTCTGATTGAAGGCAATTCATACAGCCACAGCATTCTCTACATATTTGTGCAAGGCTTGGAAACTCATCACAGTGGCTGTGCAATCAGCCTTCTGCTTCTGGTAACAGCTCACTTTTGATTCTTCCCATTTGTGAAGAATCAGAAAAGTCTTGTGTTGTCTCCCTGAAATGTGGGCTGGAGATGGGTCACTTGCCCACCTTTGATTGCAAGCATATTGGTCTTGGGGGATGGCTCAATTTTTTTTTTTTTTTTTTTTGGCTTTGTCTAGTACAGACAAAGGGATGACTTTGCAGAAGGGATGACTATAAAAGACAGTTTCTGAGCTGGGGATTAGAGAGGAATTCTTAAGATTAGATTATTCTGTTCCTCTCCCCCTGAACAATTCCCATTGGACTAAGTGTGTGGGTGGGGGGAGGGCATGATTACCTGAGAAGTGGCTGGACCACGGGGGTCTTGTTCCAGAGCTGTTCTCTCAGGGAAATGTCCAGTTCATGCCAAAGGTTCATTCATAAATTAGTTGTTTGGAACCTAGGATACGTTTTCTCCTGGAAACACCATTACAGATGTATTGGCCCCCAGCTAAGAAACAACAGAGCGCACACCAGAGCCCAGGTTCTGTAACTGTGACCCATTGTTCTGTGTGTGCATAGACGCCAAGAGGAGCTGTCCCAGACACGGCTCCTAACTTCAGGGACTTCGCACACTGATAGGGAGGAAACTCCAGGGCTGGGAACAGCTGGAGCTGAGGGGTGGAGAAGTGGAGGAAACAGCACCCCAGCTGCCCACACCCTCTGACTCTTGCTTGGAGAGGAGAGTTTACTTATGGATTACTTGGTTAATACATCCCAGGGGGTGGGGACAATCAGTGTGTGTATGTTGGGGATAATTGGTTTATTTCATCACCTATCCACCCATTTGTTCAACAGAGTTAAGTACCTACTGTGTACTTGGTATTCTGCTATACAACTGTTAGGTTTCACAGGACCCCTCTGGTGTGGTGGGGGTTCCCTGTGCTTTGTTCCAGTTTGTGGCTGCAGTTTAATCTGGGGAGGAGGTCGGGGGCTCTGTGAGGGAAACGGGAGCCTCTGCATGTGTGCTCTTTCCTGCTGCCTCACTGGTGATGGTGCGACAGACACGTGCTATTTGCTTTGCCAAGTTTGGAATCTCTGACCACGATTTTGCAAAAATTATCTCTGATTGGTAGATCAAAATAGGAAGTCTTTCCTAAGTGAAATATTTCATATTTTCATATGAAAATAGGTGGAGTGCAGTGGCTCACATCTGTAATCCCAGGACTTTGGGAGGCTGAGGCAGGAGGGTCACTTGAGGCCAGGAGTTTGAGATCAGCCTGGGCAACATAGGGAGACCCTGCCTCTACAAGAAACCTAAAAAATTAGCCAGGCGAGGTGGCATGCACCTGTAGTCCTAGCTCCTTGGGAGGCTCAGGCAGGAGGATTGCTTGGGCCTGGGAGGTTGGGGTTGCAGCGAGCCATGATTGTGCCACCACACTTCAGCCTGGGTGACACAGCAAGACCCTGTCTCCAAAAAAAAAAAATAAAAGATAAATATTCACCAAGGACTTCCTGAGTTTCAGGCAGCATGCTAAATACTTCACAAATGTTCTTACAGCTGAGGAGGTGGAATTGGAATTATGCCCAGTGAACAGATAAGAAAACTGAGGCTGCTGTGCTCAGTTGGCAGAGCCAGGATTTGTACCCAGGTGTTTGGGCTCCAGAGCTTGCATTCTTTTTTTTTTCTTGGAGACATAGTCTCGTTCTGCCACCCAGGCTAGAGTGCAGTGACGTGATCTCAGCTTACTGCAACCTCCGCCTCCTGGGTTCAAGTGATTCTCCTGCCTCAGCCTCCCCATGTAGCTGGGATTACAGCTTAGCGCCACCATGCCTCGCTAATTTTTGTATTGTTTGTAGAGACTGGGTTTCACCATGTTGACCAGTCTGGTTTTGAACTCCCAGCCTGAAGTGATCCACCCACCTCGGCCTCCCAAAGTGCTGGGATTACAGACATGAGTCACCTAGCCCGGCCCAGAGCCTGCCTTCTTACCCATATTATGCTGTGAGGATTCTTTAGGAGTTTTTATAACCTCAAACTCTGGGATTGAAATAAATGAAATCTTTTCATCTACCTCGGCGTTGTCTTCCTTTTTACCAAGAATATATGGTTGATTTCATTCCCTTCTTTTCTTCCAGAAAACCCATTGTTCAGAATTTATGTAGTGTAGCCCTTTCTCCAGCAAAATTGTTCCCAAAGTGCAGTGGAAGTCTGGAACTTGAGGTTATAAATTCTTAGCTGTGTTTGTCCCCATGGTGTTTTCTTCTTTGGAGACTGAGGTGTAGCATGTGTTTTGATGTTTTGTTTTGTTTTGTGTTTCCCTTGGAAACACAGTATTAGTGAAATCAGCTTGTTTTCTCTGACAGTACTTGTTGCGTGGTGCACACTGGTCTGAGCATGGGACTCTGAAATAGAAGGTGTAGCATAAGGGACTGTGTGAAAATGTTTCTCCTGGTATGCCGCAGAATGGTTCATTTATGACTTTCAGCATTTTGATCACCTGATTCCCCACTTCTCCCATGGGGAAAAGTGGTATTAAAAGTATTTGGAAATAAAATTCACCCTCCGAGCCGCTGCTATGCTGATGAGTAATAAAGTGTCAAAAGAATGCCGCGGAACAGCTTCTTAATATAGACCATTACTGAGACGCACCGGTAGGGCGATAACAAGCCTTTTCTTCTGATTTCCTCCCTGGAGCCAAAGGGATTTTGAAAGGCAGAAGGCAAAAACTGTTCAGAGTGAAATTCCTCAAGCTTCCCTTGTGAGGACCACATGGGCTCTGGCACTGGGTGGTTTGGGATGTCCAAGAGATGATCCCCTTTCAGCCAGTGACTCGGCCCTCAATTGCCATTCAGGAAAGACGCCGGGCTCGGGAGGGCCCTGTGATCCTCTGGCTTTAAAATGGGCAATGCTATTGAAAAACAGAAGCCCTTGAAACGAAGCCATCTGTACCCCTGGAAACAAGGTAAGAAAGCCCTGGGCTTCCTTTCCAGGAAGAAGCAAGGAGGCAGTCTTCTCTGAAAGACTGGCCAAGCACCAGAGCCGAAGTGCCTGGGGAATCGCCTTTCAAAGCAGAAAGCATTGGCAGTCCAACATGGTTTCAAGAAAATTCACAGTTCTCCTAAGGAATAAGGTGATTCCTCTCTCAATGTGGTGGCTTGGTTTGGCTGAGGGTTTAGTTCAGCTCGACATGTTTCATTCAGGACAGTATGTGTCTATTGAAAATTTTTACTTTTTATGAAATATTCCAAGTCAGCCACGTGCAGGGGCTCACGTCTGTAATCCCAGCACTTTGGGAAACCGAGGCGGGCGGATCACTTGAGGTCAGGAGTTCGAGTCCAGCCTGGACAACATGGTAAAACCCCATCTCTACTAATAATACAAAAATTAGTCGGGCATGGTGGCGGTTGCCTTTAGACCCAGCTACTCAGGAGGCAGAGACAGGAGAATTGCTTAAACCTGGAATTTGGAGGTTGCAGTAGCTGAGATCATGTCACTGCACTTTAGCCTGGGTGACATATTGAAACTGTCTCAGAAAAATGAAATAAAGTAAAATAAATATTCCAAGTCAAAGCTTTGGTATCTAGGAGTTTGAGGCTTTTGTGATATTTTTGGTTTAGAGAATGTTATTAACAGCTTTTAAATATATAGCACTTCCAAAAGTTCCAAAGTACTTTCTGTAAAATCTTACATTTATCCATCCTGGACACCCAGGAAGTGGGTCAGCAGCCTCTCCTAACACCTCCTATGTCTCTCTAGGGCTTGGGGTCATGTCAGCTGGAGGAGGAGGAAGTTGGCAGTGGTACATTTGGAAATCCAGAACCTTTAACAGTGTCTCCGTGCAGGACAGTCTTCTGACCCACTCAGCGGCCTTTTCTCATAGTTATTGACTTATTGACCCAGGAGGCTGGCCGGCCAGCAGGCATGCCAGAGATGACATGTGGGAAACTTCACCAGGTCTTTGCCTCCTCTCACTAGAAGAAGTTGCAGTAGCATTTGATCTGTAGCAAGACAGTTTGTTCACAACTGCATATATTATAGACGTGTTTATGAAAAGAAAAACTAGCTGGAAGAAAATTCATGGAAATGTTAAGAGCAGTTGTTGTTTGTCAAATGATAGATCATTTTCTTTTAAAAAGAAGGTAAGTTGGATGCTAATTTACTGTCAGGTTCAAGCCCTTCTGACTGTCCTTGAGTCATTCTTTTGTCTGACGTGTTACTTTGGAAAGGGTGCTCCTTAGCATTCCTTGATTAGATCCTGGTGTGAACAATTAAAGACAATGGGGGGACAGTTTGGAAAATTTGAATATGAACTCCATGGTGGATTCGAATGAGGAACTGTTGCTCATGTGATTTTGTGTGATATGGTGCTGAGTCATGTAGGAGTATGTGCTTTTTTTGAATAGTCATGCTGAAATATTTAGGGATGAAGAGCTTTGCTGTCTATCATTTACTCTCTAAAATCATAATCATTCTCTGGTTTTCTTTGTGTACACCTTAATAAATTTGTATGCCTTTTCTCCAATTAAAAACAATACTGTAATCTTAGCACTTTGGGAGGCCGAGGCAGGCAGATCACATGAGGCCAGGAGTTTAAGACCAACCTGGTCAACATGGTAAAACCCTGTCTCTACTAAAATACAAAAATTAGCTGGACTTGGTGGTGCACATCTGTAATCCCAGCTACTCGGGAGGCTGAGCCCTCACGCAAGAGAATTGCTTGAGCCCAGGAGGCGGAGGTTGCAGTGTGCTAAGGTCATGCCACTGCGCTTCAGCCTGGGCAACAGAGTGAGACTCTGTCTTGAAAAAGAAAAAAATAAAATGGTTCAGCAAAATATACTGTATAAATAAATGGGGACCTAAGATAAGCAAAATGGGATAACAAGTGTTAGAGTCCAGGTCGTCGATATATGAGATTTGTTACACTTTTAGTATTTTTACACATTAAAATAAAGAACCAGGCCGGGCCTGGTGGCTCATGCCTGTAATCCCAGCACTTTTAATAGTCATGCTAAAATAGTAATACCAGCTACACAGGAGACTGAGGTGGGAGGATTGCTTGAACCTGGGAGGTGGAAGTTGCAGTGAGTTGAGATTGCACCACTGCTCTCCAGCCTGGTGACGGAGCAAAACCCTCATTTCAAAAAAAAAAAAAAAAGAATCCCAGGCCACCAGCATGACCCTCCCAAGCACTTTGGGAGGCTGAGGCGGATGGATCACGAGGTCAGGAGTTAAAGACCAACCTGGCCCACATGGTAAAACTCCGTCTCTACCAAAAAATTAGCGGCCTGTAGTCCCAGCTACTCAGGAGGCTGAGGCAGGAGAATTGCCCGAACCCAGGAGGCAGAGGTTGCAGTGAGCTGAGATTGCACCACTGCACTCCAGCCTGGGCAACAGAGCAAGACTCTGTCTCAAAAATAAATAAATAACCAGTTCTGACTTATTCATAGTACTGTGTCCTTCAGAATGAGCCTTAGCAGACACTGGTGCTTACTGAAGCCGACCAAGATGCAGCATGCTTCTGAGTTCAGCACCGTGTGGGCCGGTATCTCCAGCCACCCAGGAGAAAATCAGCATTGATCCAGCTACTTAAAAGCACTACTTTTCGGATAAAAATTTAATATATTTACTTACTTTTGGATTCTCTGGTTCTCCTTAGAAAACCATGAGTTAAAACATCTGAAAATTTTCATTGGAAGCGGCTGGGTGTACAGACAAAAAGAAAGGTTTTATGTTTCGTTTTATTTAGTTATGTTCAGTAATTTAAATGAGAGGAGTGACAGGACCACTGTTGGTGATTTCATGATCCCCAGTGAATTGGACATTAAAAAAAAAAAAGCAAAAAAAAAACAACAGAACAACTCATGGCCCATGGTTTTTTAAATCTTCACAGGTCCCGTTAACCAGGAGCACATCTTTGGCGCATAGTGTTTTGTTTATTTGGGCTGATAGACCCAGGGACTGAGTTTGTCTCCCCAGTTCAAAGTCTGTCTCAGAAGGAAAAGCCAGTTTCATATCGTACCATGCCCTGCTGAGGATTCGAAATAACAGGGCTGGGGAGTAGTCCTTCACAGCCGATCTGTTTGTCTTTGTCTTGAGAGGTTGCTTACGTTTTGGAAATGGGATTATAAAACAGTGTTTAGGAACTGGAATTAAAGATTCCCAGTAAGGCTGGGTGCGGTGGCTCACACTTGTAATCCCAGCACTTTGGGAGGCTGAGGCAGTCAGATCACTTGAGCTCAAGAGTTTGAGACCAAGACCTGCCTAGGCAACATGGCAAACCCCACCTCTACCAAAAATATAAAAAATTACCCAGGCATGGTGGCGTGCATATGTAGTCCCAGCTACTCAGGAGGCTGAGGTGGAAGCATTGCTTGAACCTAGGAGACGGAGATGGCAGTGAGCTGAGATTGCACCACTGCACTCCAGCCTGGTGACAGAGCAAAAACCCCATTTCAAAAAAAAAAAAAAAACCCCAGGCCACCAGCATGACCCTGATCTGCATACCACATTCAATGTGGTTGTGCAGTCTTGGTGGATGAATGATCGCCCCAGGTTTTAGGGCAAGTAGCACTGTCTACTTTAGGAACAAGTAAATGGGAATCCCGGGCATATCATCATGTGGATTTGCTACAGGCAGTTGGGGCAGCCCAGGCCGGCCCCTGATTTCTGCCCAGATGCCCCTGTGTTAGGTGCTCTGGAGAATAAGACTTTAACCAAAGCCAAAGATGATCATGATTAGGAAGGGCAGGCCCTGAGTGCATTCCAGAGGCAAATTTAAAGGAAACTGTTAACCGCCATTTAGGTCATTTACGTGTGCTTCCATGTCATACACCTGGGGGATTGAAAAGCCGCAGAGGAATGCCAGTGTGAAAAACGTGAATCTCACAGCCTCTACCTGCTGTCGCCCTACAGAGCACTTTATGCCTGCTAGAGAAGCTTCTCTAGTGATTCGAGACAGTGCGGGACTTGTACCCAATGAGGGGACCATTATACTGTCTGACTTGTGGTTCTCGTTTTTGTTTTTTGATAGCTCTCAGGACAAACCCCAAACATAAGAAAATGTTTTTTACAATAATGGATGCTTTTCGTGGTCAAGGAATCTGACTCATTTGCATTACCATAGTGAGTTTTAGCAGGCCCCAAACAAAAAAAAAATAAGATGAGAAGTGGGACGAGGCAGTGGCTCAAGTGTGATCCTGAGAGTTTCAGCCAGAGTTCTGTCCCAGCCTGCTTTCCGACCTTGAACAAAGGCGTTTTCTAATGCCGAGTGCACTCACTTTCCTTGTCCACAGTGGACTGTTCCAAATGACCGCATCGTATTGTGTTGTTTAATTCACATCCATGGGATTTTTTTATTGATCTGTTTACCACTTGATTGTAAACCACCTAAGGGCTGGCAGTCGTGGGGTTCATTGTTTTGTCCTCAGCACCTCCACAGTGCCTGGCACATGTGCTCTCTGTGAGTGCTCCCTGGCTGCAGTGTCGCTGCTGGTATAAAGGAGGGTAGGCGTATGCAGGGCGTGGCGGTTCCTGGTGCACAGTGCACAGTGGACATGCCATAAATAGTAGTTACCAGTGCCAGCAGGTGGATTTGGGACTTGGAAGGTGGCAGGTGGTTATTTGGGACCTGGAAATGTTCATTCTTCGCCTTTCACTGCCCAAAGTAGAAATACTGGAGAATGAAAATAGGTATAGTACACCTTTCTCTTTCCCACAGTAATTCTGAGTTTGCAAACAGTAAATGTATTGATGATTGTTCAGTTGCAAATATTACTTCCCAAAACCCCTCTTAAAGAGTCAACATTTAGTTGTTGATTCAGACAGCTGGGGGAAATGGAAATTTAGAGCTAAATTGAACTTCTCTGAAATAGGCTTATAATCCTGCCCTCCCAGAGGCAGGCGAGCAGGTGGGCAGGCAGGCAGCCTGGCTCTTTTCCTTCCTTTCTTTCCTTTTGTTCCTTC